AATGACAACAATAACAACAAAAAATAGCCGCGCTTTGTGGTGCATGCCTGTACTCCCAGCTACTTGGGAGGCTGAGGCAAGGGAATTGATTAAGCCCAAGAGTTTGAGGTTGCTATGAGCTGTGATGCTACAGCACTCTACCAAGGGCAACATAGTGAGACTCTTAATCTCAAAAGAAAAAAAAAAAGGAAAAGAAAAGAAATCTCCTCTTGGTGTCCCACAGAACTGTTAAACTCAGCACTATAGAAACAGCATGGGCAGTGCCTACGGCTCAAGGAGTAGGGCGTTGGCCCAATAGGCAGGGGCTGGTGGGTTCAAACCCGGCCCCAGCCAAAAACTGCAGAAAAACCACCACAACAAAGAAACAGCATTTTGGGCAATGCCTATGGCCCAGTAGTTAGGGCACCGGCCCCATATACCAAGGGTGGCAGGTTCAAACCTGGCCCAGCCAAACTGCAACAAAAAATAGCTGGGTGTTGTGGTGGGCTCTTGTAGTCCCAGCTACTCGTGAGGCTGAGGCAAGAGAATCGCCTAAACCCAAGAGTTGGAGGCTGCTGTGAGCTGTGACGCCACAGTACTCTACTGAGGGTGAAAAAGTGAGACTCTGCCTCTAAAAAGAAAAAAGAAACAGCATTTCTCCTCTTCCTCTTCTCTTCCTGTAGTCCCTAACTTGGTGGAAGGAAGCACTGTATCATTCTCTAGGCCAGAGACTTGGGAGTCCTCATTGACTCCTCCTTCCCTCTCATTTTTGGTCAACCACCCAGCCCTGTTGGCTCTGCCTCTCTCTCCTTGGTCCCCTCCTTTCACCCTTGCCACCACTGCCTGAGTTGAGGCCTCCCTGTCTTTCACTGCACTGTTGTACCAGCTTCTAAACTGGCTCTCCAGTCTACAGCTCAGATCTGATCATGTCCTTCTCCTGCTTATAATGTTTAATTGGCTCATGGTTGCTTCCAAGATCAAATGCAAGCTCCAGAGTTTAGCATACAAAGAGTTTCCCTCCTTAGTCCTTCCCCATCTCTCTAGCTTCAAGTCAGGGCTCTAGGGGTACAGCATGTGTACTCTAGCTACATAGTCTTGATGCACTTGTGAACATAGGCTCTTCTGTGTCAAGGGCTTTCCCTGTTTCCATCCCTGCCACCTTGTTTTTCCACTTGCTGATTCTCCTCGGTAGAACATTCTTTCCCACATTTGGTTAAATAGGAACTTACAGCTGGTTTTCCACATAGTAAGGACTCTATAAATGTGTGAATACTGACTTTTAAGGTGTATGCAGATACTTGACCCAGCCCCAAGTCAGAAAATTAAAAATGTGTGTAAGATGGTGCATCTTACAAGGGTACATGTGAAATTAACTAGGTATAGAATGTAAATGTCTAAATACAATAACAAAGAAAATGCTGTGAAGGCTGTGTTAACCACTGTGATGAAAATATTTCAAATTGTATAAAAAACCAGCACGTTGTACCACGTGAAAAAAAGAAAATTAAAAAAAAAGAATATGGGCAGCGCCTGTGGCTCAAAGGAGTAGGGCGCTAGCCCCATATACTGGAGGTGGTGGGTTCAAACCCGGCCTTGGCCAAAAACTGGAAAAAAAAAAAAAAGTGTAAGTACTTAGAACAGGAGTCTATACATAGTAAATGCTGGTTTATTTATTTGTCACTTATCCAGAGGGATATTTTAAATCCTAGATTGATTTTTTTCACCTAACTCAGCATATTTTCGGTGTACACGTCAGCTTGAGTAGGATGACAAATTATGTGATAAACCCTAGAGTGACTGGAAGATTATCTGCTGTGCTGGGCTTTCAGATTTGAGGGATCAACACCCCACTATCATGAGTTAAGGCTTCTTCCTTTGACTCCCTGGGCTGTGGCAAAGACTTCCAGATCTGTCCTCTTCAAGGCTTTGGGAGAAACCTGGCTGTTTAGAGGCTACCATTGCAACCTCAGCATTGTTCTCTGAAAATGAAGCATTCTGGCCCAGTGCGGTGGCTCACGCCTGTAATCCTAGCCCTCTGGGAGGCTGAGGTTGGTGGATTGCCTGAGCTCATGGGTTTGAGACCAGCCTGAACCACAGCGAGACCCTCTAAAAATAGCTGGGCATTGTGGCGGGCGCCTATAGTCCCAGCTACTTGGGAGGCTGAAGCAAGAGAATCAGTGGTTTGATTCTCTTGAAATCAAATTGCTGTGAGCTATGATGCCATAGCACTCTATCAAGGGCAACAAAGTAAAACTCTGTCCCCCAAAAAGAAAGAAAATGAAGTGTTCTTTTCTGTTGCCATAGCCTCCTGAGTCATCTGAAAACAGTCATTTTTCTGCTAAATTGACAAGGATGCTCTCTATCTGTATTGGGAATCTGCCAAGAGTTGGTTAGATTTTGGTAATGGGGCCCAGCTTGAAGATCAGTTAGTACTAGTCAGAGAAAAGCTGGGTTTGTCACAAGTACCCACAATACCCTGGCAGCTGTGCCACATGTGGTGGTGGTCCCATGGAGGCTGAAGGAGCAAGAGGTGACTGACAGCTTTTAAGTTCTTAGATGGCATACTTAGATGTCCTTTTGGTCCAGTGTTCTGGCCTGGGATATGCTGTGGAGGGTAGGATTTATATGTAAAGTGGCTGAAAGCCTACATCCGACGACAACAACGAAGGAGAGCTAATTGCATTTGTAAATGAATTGGTAGTTTTTTGTTTTGGGGGGTGGTTTTTTTTTTTGTTTTTGTTTTTTGAGGCAGAGTCTCAAGCTGGATAGAGTGCTGTGGTGTCAGCTCACAGCAACCTCCAACTCTTGGGCTCAAGTGATCCTCTTGCTTCAGTTTTTCTATTTTTAATAGAGATAGGATCTCAATTTTGCTCAGGCTGTTCTCAAACTCGTGAGCTCAAGCTATCTACCCGCCTCAGCCTCCCAGAGTGCTAGTATTACAGATGTGAGCCACTGCCCCCGACCCCACCCCCACCCCAGCCTGAATTGATAGTTTCAAACTAGTGGCAAAGATTAGTGTTCATAGGACATAGCTCTTCACAGGAAGGATAGTGGTTTTATACCTAAACTGCTCTGACTATAAATGCCTTGGAAATACCCCGCCCTCTGTGAATGGTAATGAGTGCTATTTGTGGTGATTCATTTCTACAATGTGGGGGTGACTTGACAGACTGGCATGTGGCTCTAGGCCTGGCAACTGATGCTATCTCTGCCATGTGCCTAGACCATCCACTTCTTCCTGTACCCACTGTTTCTTCTGCCTTGCTCAAGGATGCTTTCATCTCAACTATGCCTCCCATGTCTACCCTCACACAGCAGCTGAGTGAACATACTAGAGTGCAGACTTAATCATGTCACATCCCTGTTTCAAACCCTTTTCTAGCTATTCCAATCATGATACAGTCCAGACTGTATGCATGTAGCTCCGCCTGCTGGCAAACCCTATTTTGTCCAAGCCAAAATGACCAAATGGCCTGAGTTGAATCCCAGCTGTCTTCATCAGCTTTTTTTTTTTTGAGACAGTTTCACTATGTCGCCCTTGGTAGAGTGCTGTGCAGTCACAGCTCACAGCAACCTCAAACTCTTGGCCTTAAGCAATTCCCTTGTCTCAGTCTCCCAAGAAGCTGGGACTACAGGCGCCCTCCATAATGCCCAGCTATTTTTCTGTTGCAGTTTGGCCAGGGCCTGGTTCAAACCCGCCACCTTTGGTATATGAGGCCGGTACTCTACTCACTGAGCCATAGGCACCACCCTACACCCAGCTAGTTTTTTGTTGCAGTTGTCATTGTTGTTTAGTTGGCCCGGGCTGGGTTTGAACCCGCCAGCCTTGGTGTATGTGGCCGGTGCCCTACCCACTGAGCTATGGGCGCTGTCAATCCATCAGCTTCTTCATCTGAAAAATGGGGGCGCCTGTAGTCCCAGCTACTCGGGAGGCTGAGGCAAGAGAATCGCCTAAGCCCGAGAACTGGAGGTTGCTGTGAGCTGTGACACCATGGCAGTCTAAGGGAAAAAAAAAGGAAGAGGAGAGAGAGAAGACCAAACAAAAATATTTCTTTCTTTTTTTTTTTTGAGACAGAGTCTCAAGCTGTCGCTCTGGGTAGAGTGCTGCCATGGTGTCACAGCTCACAGCAACCTCAAACTCTTGGGCTTAAGAGATTCTCTTGCCACAGCCTCCCAGGTAGCAGGGAATACAGGTGCCCACCACAACACCCGGCTATTTTTTTTGTTGTTGTAATTGTCATTGTTGTTTGGCAGGCCCAGGCTGGATTTGAACCCTCTAGCTCCCATGTATGTGGCTGGCACCCTAGCCACTGAGCTACAGGCGCCAAGCCAGAAAAATATTTCTTAATGAACTGGGCACCTGCATAGTTGGTGAGTGTGGGATGAAGAGCATGAATTTCTGTCAGTTGGACCCCAGCTTCTACTAATGTAGCATTTGTCTTGTTCTTAACCTTCCAGCCCTGGCCTTAACAGGGGTGGATGCACCAGGCCTTGCTTGCCCTCTCCTGGACAGCCTGGGAACTTGCAGCTCCCCACAGAGGAAGAAAGCAGGCCAACCTCCCTTCTGGTTCCCTTAGCATTTAGTGTACTTGTGATTTTGTCTTGTCTGTACCTCTTGTATGTTTCCATAGTGTTTTGCATAATTTACATGTACCTATAAACCAAATGATTAACAAACCGCCAGAGCTTGATTCTATGCTTAAATATTTTGTTTTGTTTACTTATTTTTTATTTTAATATTTATTTATTTTTTGAGACAGAGTCTCACTATGTCACCCTTGGTAGAGTGCTGTGGTGTCACAGCTCACAGCAACCTCAAACTCTTGGGCTTAAGCGACTCTCTTACCTCTGTCTCCCAAGTAGCTGGGACTATAGGTGCCTGCCACCGTGCCTGGCTATTTTTTGGTTGTAGTTGTCATTGTTGTTTGGTGGCCTGGTCTGGGTTTGAACCCGCCAGCTCCAGGGTATGTGGCTGGTGCCCTAGCTGCTGAGCTTCAGGTGCCAAGCCGATATGTATATTTTTAAATATGCAGCATTACCTGAATTTGCATGTCATCCTTGCATGGGGCTGTGCTAATCTTCTCTGTATTGTCCAATTTTAATATATGTGTTACTGGAGTGAGCACTGCTTAAATATTTGGAAGTTAAGTTTTTAGAAGTCAGACATATGAGGGCTGGGCACTGTGGCTCATGCCTGTAATCCAGCATTTGGGAGGCTGAGGCAGGTGGCTTGCCTGAGTCACAAGTTCAAGACCAGCTTACCCAAGAGCGAGACCCCATTTCTAAAAAATAGCCAGGTGTTGTGGCAGGCACCTGTAGTCCCACCTACTTGGGAGGCTGAGGCAAAAGGATCACTTGAACTCAAGAGTTTGAGGTTGCTGTGAGCTTGATGTCATGGCACTCTACCCAGGATGACCAAGTGAGACTTTGTCTGGGGTGACTAGACGTCCCGCTTTTCAACAATTTGTCCCACGTCCCGCAGCATTTTTAAAAAGTCTCGATTTTTGGAAAGAATGCATGAACAGGTGGGAGAACAAGAAGGGAATATACGGTTTTCGGCTGTCAAGTGGCTATTTCGCCAGAAAATGAGTTTTATATTATTTTTGTTAATTTTCTAATGTTAAACTGTAATAATAACAAATAATTGCTGAGAACTGATTATCGAGAACTGCTTATCAAAGTTTGCATTGTTGTCAGGCCCTGCCCTGCCCCGTCCCCTGCCCCGCCCCCACCCCACCCCTG